ACAGCCAGGCAGATGAGCTCAGAGCTAGCTCCCATGTCAGTGGATGAAGAGAGCACATCCAGCCAGTCACAGTCAGAGAAACAGGACTACACTGGAAAATCTCCAGCATCTAAAAACAAGGGTGTTGATGGAAGCAGCACAGCTAATATTTCTCTCCAGGATGGAGTCACAGCCAAACAGGAACAGACCAGATGAAGCTACTATGAGAAAAAGCAGAGAGAGCAGAACGTTAGAGATTGAACTAACAGATTCTGCAGAGTTGGAGAATAGAGATAGAATGATGAAAAAGGGGTCCCTATGTCCTCCAGCAGTCTAAGCCTATAGCAGCATAACTATAGAGATAGCTCAGGATAAAATAAATGTTTTAAAGATTTGAAAAGATTTTCTAAACCAAGCTGTTTGTGGGGTTCCCAAGGGTCCTTGTAATTCTTGAAAGTTTGTGAATCTTAAAACAAAATGTTCAAGGGCCTTGAAAAGGTTTGAAAACGGTCATAAATAAACGTAAGTTTATGCCGTATCATGATTTTCACTGAGGTTGTTTTTAAGCTCATCATGTTAACAATGTCTTCATGTCCACAGGTTCCTTCTCCTTCTCAGTTCTGTCAGGAAAAGTCATGTTCAGAGAGGTCTACTACATCAACCAGGACATGTCCATCAGGTCACCTCTAGTGTCCAAATCCCTTTTATGTGTCTGTCTCTTCGGCTCTCTGCTCACCGGCTGCTCTCTCTCTCGCTCTGTTGCAGGATTCAGGACGGCTTTCTCATATTTCGCTGGTGGAAAATGTACAACCCAAAACAGAAGCAGCACGGTGAGTTTGGCAGCAGAGATATTCAAGACATACCTCTCTAACACATGAATATATAAGCAGGGAATTTTGCTCCATTGTTGCAAGCAAAGAGCACAGTTTGAAAATGGGGAAAATTATGGAGCTCTCCATTTTCACAGATGTGATCAATGCATGCACAGCATGAGTCACACAAAAACAAAAAAATCCACACTCGCAGCACAATTCATGCAAGCAAAAAAAATCCAGCAGCATGTGGAATCTGGGGGTGTCATCCCACCTGCAGTAGTTTCTTGTGATTGGCTTATACAAGGAAGCTCTGTGATGCAAAAAATGCATTTGTGTATGGAGGCACGTAAGGAGTGTCTCAAAAATCCACACACAAATACAGTGAAGTTTAAAGACTGGTACTTTTGTAGTTTTATTTATAATTGTTTATGGACCAGAAATACATTGGCGAATCTTGTTCTGTGTGTGTGTGGATTTTTTTGTGCTTGCGTGAATCGTTCTTTGCACGTATGAATCACATGTGTGTTTGTGAAAATTGAGACCAATCTAACTCCATACAAACTGAACCCTTGAAAGGTTTTCAATTAAAAAAATATATTTTTCAGACTAACTTTGCTGTTTTTTTCTGATAAAATTTTTTTTTCAAATACATTTATGATATTTTACTTTTTAACTTCCATTCAAATTTGAGAAGTTCTATCTCTAAAATATCTTTTTTTTTTTTTTATGAATTGCTTTCTTTTCAAGCTGTTTTCCCACATTGCTCTTCCTTCACTTATGGGTGCGGGCTTTCCTTTAGATTGGGGAGGGAACCTGCTTTTCTATTATTATTTCAAGCAATGGATGTTTTTTAAATGTAATTAAAAAAATGCAATCCAAAAATAAAACTTTAAAAAACATTTTTGAACCAAAAAAGTTTTTAGAGTAACGTTTTTTGCCTTCCTGCCCGGACAGATCCAAAAGCAGAGACCAGGCTTTATGTGACGGTCAACGGCTTCGAGTTTCACGTCTACAACCGGACCGACCTCTACGCGCGGCTGCAGGAGACGTTTGGACTGGAGCCCACGCTTCTCACCACCAAGAAGGAGGAGGAGCGGGGACAGGAGGAGCGGGCCGAACCCCTGGAGAGGTCCGTCCGCAGCCCGCAGGGTTTGTCTTCCCTTTTTTCCTCAGATGATTTCAGCTGAGAATCTTGTCTTCTGCAGTGTGAACATCAGTGCGGAGAGTCCAGAACCCACGTCGTCATGGCGATCCCTCATCCCTGTGATTAAACTCAACATCAGTACGGTAAGCTCCCCTCCCCCCTCTGTTTGTGGATCTGTCCTCCGCTCAGAAACTCACGTGTTGCGTTCTGCGTTTCTCCTGTAGGGCCGTGTGGCGTTCGGGAACCACCACCTCCCTCAGACGCTGTGTGTGAACTTTGAAGACGCCTTCCTTACGTACGCCACCAAGCCGCCGTCCAGCCACCTAGACCAGTACATGCACATCGTGAAAGGATCGTTGGAGAACGTGCGCGTCATGCTGGTTCCCAGTCCGCGCTACCTAGGAATGCAGAACGACGAGTGAGTTCCTCTGATGTTTGAATGACGTTTCATCAGAACTCTCCTTTCCCTCCTAGTTTCCACTTTAATAGCAGGAGGCCTGAACTGGGTTCTCTTAGGTTACGGTCACACTGCAGGCAATAAAGTGTTATTTTGTATATATATATATATATATTTTTTTTAAGGGCTGTATTGTATGCTAGTATCATTTGTGGTCTAAATTTGTGCAGCGCTGAAGCACCTGCCGCTGTTTTCTTTGCCCCGCCAAAGCTAACTCTACTGTGGGGGAGGGGGTGGTCGACTCCACTTGGGATTAAGCGTATAAGAAAATGGATAGATGGGTGGAAGGATAAAATCTCTGCGTGAGACGCCGACGTCTCGGCCACAGGCCACCTTCTCGTTGGAGCCCTCTTTCTAATCGTCTGATCCGACACATCCACGCCGAACCGTGTGTGATTGTAGTAGCATGAGTAGCCCATGGCCTCTAGTTTGGCTCTTGGGCCGCTGAGTTTACCGGCTGAAGTGTGGGCAATGCTATCCAAACCTTGAATAAAAGTTTCATTATTGTCTGATGGGTCACTGATAGGTCTGTTTTTTCCTGTGGGTGGGGGATCATACTAGCCCCTTCCTACCCAGTCCTCCTCATCGATCTCTCCCTCTCCACCTAAATCGCTATCATCAATAGTTGGAAGCATTTCTTAATCTCTATTTTTGTAGTTAAATTTCTCCTGAAAGCCATTTTTCCGTATTAGCCAAAGAGTTCTAGGTAGATTGTTGGTTGCTAGGCAACAGTACCGAACGTCAATCAACCGTGGGAAGAATTTCCAATGCAACTAATAGAGGCGTCAAAATGTCGGCTGTGGGAGATCGAGGTAAAATTAAACATATTTATTTTGTACATTTTTATTTTATGTACAAAAATTATGTGAAAGTGAAGGAAATATAGAATCAGCAAAATAAGATTAATGTGAATAAAGTTCCTTCCCTTTAAAATATCAGAACCGTCAAAATGACGGCATGTGGAGTTCTGGCGTTAAAAGACTTTTCCACTTTAAAAAAAATGCACTTGCACGAGCTCATTTCTCCTCGTGCACGCCCTGTTTAAAAGTGTTCTCATAGCTCATACAAGCTTACTGTGTCCACATACAGCTGGGACTATATAGTGAACTTTATAGTGAAAGCAGTTAAATGACTGTTCAGACAGATGATCACTACTTTTTGCTCCATTGGTCACATAACTCCTCCATCGCGCTGTGCCTGTGCCATGTCTATTAGTCGCTGCTGTCAGGTAGCGACAGTGGGACCCTGTGACAGCAAATCCCATAATGCTTTGCGTGGAGAGTTCTCTACACAAAGCATTCTGGGATATATCTGCCTCTTCTGAGGCCTTTCTTTTCTTCTCATATACTTCATAGACACTTTTTCTCTTCCGACCCTCGGCCATTTTCAAAGAACTGCGGTGAGAAAGGTGAGCTTCAATGACTGTCTGAAACCGTAGCTCACCACAGATATATGCCTGAAAGTGCGCATGCGTGGAAAAACATAGCTAACTGGACGAACACGTAGGACGGCCTTATGTAAACATATCACCAGGATGATTGACAGTTAGGAGTGCTGCTTATTGAGATGATCCACCCAGAAATAAAAGATCGTCCTCTATATCTTTAACAATACAATCACTTCAAGATGGTTGAATATAAATTCTGCTCTCCGCATAATCGTTCGTCATGGTTGTTTTTCTGCCTGCTTCTGCATAGCAGGACATGGAATAGTGACCTTTGAGTATTAATGGCGTTCATGTTGGATGAATGCGACCCAGCCGTTCAGACACAGGTCACATTTGAAAAGATCAGATTGGTATTGGGTTCAGGACCACAGAGCCAAGTGGTCTGGGTCGCACTGGAACAAATCAGATCTGTCTCCTGCAGACTGACATGAAAAGATCAGATTAAGCAACTTCAGTCTGCTGTGTGAACGTAGCCTAGGATTGGATTTCTGTAGAACTGCAACCTTCTTGTCGAGTTCCTGTTTTATTTGGTTAGTGTGGCAACAATAAAGGTAGGAGGATGAAGCAGAAACAGAAAATGTAATCTGGATTTTCTAAAAAACTAAATCACTGGGAACCGCTGAGGATTCTGATGTTCCACTTTCACCACAGACCCCCCCGACTGATGGGCGAAGGCTTCGTGGTGATGCAGTCCAATGACGTTGACATCTACTACTACCAGGACGAACCAGGTGGGATTTGCTCCTCACAAAAACCCTATCTTCCTTCCTTTCTTGCTTCCTTCTTTCCTTCCTTGCTTCCTTCATTGCTTCCTTCTTTCCTTTCTTTCTTTTTTCCTTGCTTCCTTTCTTGCTTCCTTCATTGCTTCTTTCCTTCTTTGCTTCTTTCCATTCTTGCTTCCTTCATTGCTTCCTTCTTTCCTTCCTTGCTTCCTTCATCGCTTCCTTCTTTCCTTTCTTTCTTTTTTCCTTCCTTCCTTTCTTGCTTCCTTCATTGCTTCTTTCCATTCTTGCTTCCTTCATTGCTTCCTTCTTTCCTTCCTTTCTTGCTTCCTTCTTTCCTTTCTTTTTTCCTTCCTTCTTTCCTCCTTTCCTTTCTTGCTTCCTTCATTGCTTCTTTCCATTCTTGCTTCCTTCATTGCTTCGTTCCTTTCTTGCTTCCTTCCATTCTTGTTTCCTTCATTGCTTCCTTCTTTCCTTCCTTCCTTTCTTGCTTCCTTGTAAATTTGCGACCTCTTGGTCACTGTGTGTCTCTTAACCCCCCCATCAGGTCTGGTCCCGTTGGAGCAGGAGGGAGTGGGGGAGGCAGAGACGAGCAGCGAGGATGATAAGCTGCAGGACCTTCCTCCATGCTGGGGGCTCGACATTGTTTGTGGTAAAGGAACCGACTTTAACTACGGACCGTGGGCCGACCGGCAGAGGTAAGCAGACCAATTAGATCTCAGCTGAATCTGATCCTTAAGCTGAATTTTGAGGGAAAAAAACTTCCATTGGTTACACGAAAATCTAAAAAGGAAAAAAAAGTTTTGTTTCATTACCATTAATTCATCTCCAAAATGCTCTTTAACTCTGTTTGTATTGTAATTGATCTTTGTTTATAAGCATACTGGCATCTGGGATTTGAACCTTAGACCTTAGTGTTGCTAGTCTACCGTGCCCCCAGCTGTTAGACCAAATAAACTGATGGCGTGGACTGTAACTGTAACCATTCTGTTTGCATCATGACATGTTTGAGTCGCTGTGGAAGTGAGGAACGTTTTTCTCTGCAGGGATTCCCTTTGGAAGTTCTTCCTCCCGGCCGACTACCAGGTCATGGATGTGAGCGAGGTCCCACAGCCGGGAAAACCCCGCCAGATCCAAGCCTTCGAGCTCCGCATGAACATCATCGCCGACGCCACTATTGACCTGCTGTTCACCAAAAACAGGGTGACTGACTGCTGCCTTGTTTGATCCCACTTCCTTTCTGTGCCGAGGGGCTCTTCTTTGTCTCCGAGCCTCGCCAACCTCTCAGTTAGTGATGTTGACGTTTTATTCTATTTCAAACAGTCCTTTTTAAGCTGAGGATGTGAAAGGCACGCCGAATAAAGAAACAGGAACAGGCTTTAGACAAAGACGATCGTCTTTTTTCCTTTCCTGCTTTCAGTGTTTTGTCTTCAGGTTAGGTGTCTCTTTTATTTTTAGTCTGTGGTAATGAGACGTCTCTGTTTGTCTTCCCCCTCCTCTGCTCCGTCTTCATCGCTGTTACTAGGAAACCAATGCCATCCATGTGAATGTAGGCGCAGGCTCGTACCTGGAAGTCAACATCCCCATGACCGTGGGAGAGAATGGTAAGTAGGTGTTTCACAGCAGAAACAGAAGTAAACATCTCCACGGCTCCAGGTTAGATGTATGGATCCTAGAACCACTTATTCTACCTTTTATAGGTTCTCCTTATGGTATGACTTTAGCTTTAGCTCTGGGTAAACACGTTGGAAACGCTAATAATTTAGCAAACAGCAGAAAGGAGTCTCAGGGGGAGAACCAGAGTCAGTCTGTGTTCTGTCATATCAGCATACCCATTGTCATGTGGGTATGTTTATCGTTTATCCCTTTAGTTTTGTACAAAAAATAGATTTTAAACTACCTCAACGGGCGTGTATCCCTTTGGTCATGTACAAAATAAAACATTTTAAAGTCGGATCACCACACGCTTCAAAGAATTGTTTTTTTTTGTACATGACTAAAGGGATAGACGCCCGTTGAGGCTAAAAGTCGGCCCGATGGAAAAATTCTCGCACGCCTGGAGAATCGGCCCAAAAAGGGCAAAAAAAATCATTCAGTATATGCCCGGGTTAATCCACAGTAACTATGATGTATGCCGGAATATTCTCAGCGCTACGTTTCTTCCACACATTTCAGCTTTCTTCCAAATGAAACGACTCGACTTCCTCCTAACTCAGAACAAGCCCTCTGCCCTGTTATGCTAACAGCTTTCTGTCAGCAGACCTTTAAGAAAGGAGGAGGTTAAGATCAGAGTCGGAACTCATCATACAGGTTGGCTCTGGCTGTGTTGGATTTCAGCGGCTGCTTCCTCCAAGGACCCGCTCTACCTGGACTGGGTCCTTGGAGGTCTGTGACAATGAGGAGGCCAGAAGAGTTTGACTATGGATTCAAAGTCCAGCCTTCTCTGGTTTTCCCGGCCCATACCCTCTGTTGCCTAGCAACTGTGACACTTGACACACAAGGCAGCCAAAGAATGAATACGGAACTTCGCCCTACTGTTCTGGGTGCTAATAACATTTCTGAGGAGCTTCAGCAGCAGTACCGTCGTCTCAGATATCTAGTCCCCACACTACAGATGTTGGAATCTGAGCTTAAATGTTAGTTAAACCCATTTCCACAGGGACAGATAAAAACCTTTCAGTGAACCAAACGTTACCCACCACATATCTGATGCAATAACCATTAAAACAACTATTTTCATTCATTTCAGACGGAACTTTTCACACACTTGGGTTATATTAAACTGCACTTCTAATATTCAGCTGGTTCTGAGCTTTCTCCCAGCATGTTGGGTTTAAACTCCTCTGACGCAGAGATCATTTCAACCAACTTGATTAACCGACCGCTGCCCAGTTGATGGTGGCGCCCGCGGTTTACAGCCCTTTGCATGTGTTCGTCCTGATCCTGACAAATGCTACGTTCACACAGAAGCCTGAAGTGACCCATTTATTTATTTATTTATTTTTTTTGTCCATATGCGACCTGGATCTGATCTTTTCATGACAGTCTGAACAACACAGATCCCTTCTTTTCCAACCCACACTTGGCTCTGTGGTCCTGAATTCGATTCGAATCTGATCTTTTCAAATGCGATATGTGTCTGCAGGGTTTCCAGAACTGTCTCTGGTTGATCGTAAAGCCATATGTTCGGAAAAGAAGCTCGAGTCTGAGAAAAAGGTAGAGAATGGGGAAAATGTAAATTCAACAAAAGTGGCTGGAAAACGAGGAATTCGGGACATGGCTGCAGCCTGTCGACGGGTACTTGTTGGTGGCATTAAAAGTATTTCTAAGAGCATTAAAAGAACATTAAAAAGTATTAAATTAGAGTCTCTCATTTCTGTATAAACCCGGGTCTGAACAGCCAAGTGGCATTCATGCAACCTGAACGGCATTAATACCTGACGAAGGTCACTATTCTGCGTCTTGCTGTGCAGAAGCAGCAAGAAAAATGACAACCATGGTGGACGATGATGCGGAGAGCAGTATTTATGTTTAACCATCTTGAAAAGATTGAGGTTTTAAGGTTGGGAAAGATCACTAGATGTTCTCCAGCACTAACATCCATGTTTACTTCCGTAAACACAGAGCATCCTTGCTTATGACGTCATTTCATCCTCTACTACGCATGTGGGACATGTAAGCTGTATGAATGCAGTTAACACAGGATATCACATACAAGTCGCATGTATTTGGAAACGTGAACGGCAACGCAAAAAAAAAACAAAAAACGGTGTAAACGTAGCCACATTGTTACAACGACATATCGAGTTTTCTCTCGAGAGAACGATCAACCAGTCTAACGATCCACCTTTAAAAGGTTTTTGTTTCTGACCAAATATAAATCTATGGCTCTCCTGCCGACGTCGGCTTGTGGGTCTCATGTGGAGTCTCCTTTGGTTTATAATAATCCACAAAAAAGAATATGAAATTATATCTGCAATAAAGTGTCTGCCTGTGGGGCTGTGATCCATCAAAGCTTGTTTTCCTGCTTTGAGTCAGAAATAAAAATGATAAAAATGTTTTTCTTCCAGTCGCTGCATTGGGTTTGTTTTCAGCTCCATGTTTCCCAGTCAAACCAGTCCAGAGTTTTCTGATGAATTGCTTTTGAAACTGTGGTGGCCTTCGTGGATGAAATTATGATAAATGTTGATCTTTAACCTGAATCCGTGATGCAAAGATCTATTTCTACCCAACAGACGGTAACATGTGAATCAGCGAGTCAAGCTGTGGAAATTAGGTCATTAATTTAGTGCAGCAGTTGGAGAAGAAATAAGAGTGTAGATTAAAAACTATATTTTCATTATATTCATATCATGTTTTCTAATCTATGAGATCAGCTGGAAACAGAGCAGCTTTGCTGTTTTTTCTGTTTAAGATGAGGCAGCAGCCTGTGAGGTATGGAGAGCTGTTTCATTTATTACTCAATAAATAAAAAAAAAACACTGCTATTGATAAATATTCCATAAAATATAAATCACCATGAAATAAAAAAAAGTAAAAACAATTGTTTTATTATATAAACATGTAGTATTATTTTGTGACACTTTTGTTTAACTCCTTTTATTTCCTGTTCTTATATTTTGATGAGGGGCAGAGTTTTATCTGTCGGGCGGCGCTGGTTAGAGTTCAGCGACGTCAAATATAATAAAATCATTGAATTTGGGATATTTATGGGGATATTTATGGGGATATTTATTTATTTGATAGAATATTTATTGGTGGCAGTTTTCCATTAATTTTGAAAAAAACGGCTCTCCATATTGAGACACAGCTGTGGGAAGCAGTGAGTGTTATCAGGCGGTAACGGAGCGATGGCTGCTTCCACCTGAGGGCGCTAAACTGGTTAAAAACTCAGAAAAGTCACCAGATTTGTCTCTAGCTGCTTTTTTTAAGACAAAAAGTTGTTTGAAGGGTTTGAAAGTCACCAAATATAAGAGTTAGCAACACTGGACTGTTGGCTCCATTTTTCTTTCACTGAGAGCAGAGCCTTGTAGCTAACAGTTAGCTTCATACGCTGGGAGGGATTTAACGTTAGGCTTTACTAGGCAGTTGCCTATGGTCCCAAGCTCCGCCTAAAACACAATAAAATGCAAAGACTTTGTCTCATTTTGCTGAATGGACCATTTTATATAAAAAGACCAGAAGCATCAGATTTCATCATCATATCCTTGGAAAACTTTACAAACATGTTTTTAACAATAGGAGCAAAAAGTGTGATTAATTACAAATAAAAAAAGCCACATGAAGGCAGATTCTTAACATGTTTGAACTGCTGTGGTTAAGTTGCGTAACAGTTGCAGCATTTATCACCAAAAACAAAGCAATCTAAACTATAAAATCATGAGTGATGGAAAGATTTTTTTTTTGTTTTTTCAGCTTTTCATTTTCTCATAGAAATCAACTCCTCTGGTTGTTAACCTTTATGTATTTAGCAGTTTTGTTGAGATTGTTCACTTTGCTGGTGAAGATTCTCAGTCATCCAGGTCATGGACTTGGTTTCCAAGCTTGAAGACGTTTTGCTTCCAATCCAGGAAAGTTTTTCAATACAAACGGTCAGAAAAAGGGGATGGTTCCCTTTTAAGGTTCCCTTTATAGGGGAACATAACACCTCGCCTGTTCAGCCAGGCCAACAATTCCCTCTATTCACCCCCCTTTCAGACACATATACAGGTATGTGGCTTTGCAGTCTAACAAAGACGCTAAACAACCCCCATTCCAAAGGGCCAGACCCGTTCATCTGTTTCTATTTGCATGTTTTCTAAACAAAAACAAGCCTTTTTTGCGCTGCTGTATAAAACCATAAACTCAACGCTATTTCTGACATTTTGAATTAATAAAGCTTCCTGGATGGGAAGAGAAACTTCTTCAAACTTGAAAACAAAGTTCAGTGGATTTTTTTTTTTTTTTTTGGAACTGTTCACTTTAAAAATCAGGCAGGTAATGAGATGTGGGTCTTTTAGCCCCGCCCCCATTGTCCATGCAAGTATATCAGAGAATGTTGCAATGAGTTCTCATGCCAGCAGGAAGTTTCCCCCGTGTTTTCCTCCATGTCTAGATATGCAGCATATGTTACTGGAAGAGATCTTTTAGCTCCAAGCATTTTTGGTTCCTCATGTTTATTTCTTTTATTTCTGCCCTCAGGCTACTCTCCCACCATCAAAGGTCAGCTGCTCCATGTGGACACCACCAGCAGCATGCAGTACAGGACCCTCCTGGAGGCAGAGATGTTGGCTGTGAGTAATGGATTCTCCCGCAGCCCCGCTTTGATGGAAGCCATGTGAAAACGAAGCCGCCTTTTTTCTGTTTCAGTTCCATGTGATCGCCAGCTACCCCCGCGTGTGGAACATGCCCCAGTCCTGGCAGTGCGAGATCGAGGTCTACAAAGCCACCTACCACTTCATCTATGCTCAGAAGAACTTCTTCACAGGTCAGGGAGGCAGTCAGTCGGTGCCACAGCCACATGGAAGCAAATGTGTCCCAACCTTCCAATCAGAAGGATTCATAGAAACGCTTTTTATAAAAAAAAAAACAAAAAAAACCAAAGCTGTATTTTCAGACTCGCAAATTAAGGCCCTGTCACACCTTGCAGATTTAGCCAGCGTGTGCCCGACATCCCAGAATCTCCTACCTCAGCATGCTCATAACTTTTTTTGTTTTTTCCGTACATCAGGCATACGCTGGTCTAAATCGTCAAGGTGTGACAGGAGCTTAAGTTATAAAAATTTAACCTGCATTTTTTGTTTTCTTCTCAGACTGCTCAGTTTTCTGAGGCAATTAGATCAATAAATCAAATAACATTTATATATGATTTCATAAAAAAATGTCCCACCAAAGAAAGACATAAATGTATTTAAATATGTCAGATTTTATAATAGAAATGCTTTTTTTTGTCAAAATAAGCTGCATTTGGCAACGCATATAAAAGTACAAAGTAGATAATAATAAAAAATCCCTTTCTTCTGCAGGATGGCTCAGTTTGCATATTAGTTAAAATGATAAAACAAAAAATGGTTCATGTTTCATTTTTAAAAGATGTCCCAGCAAAAAAAAAAGACCAAAAGTCATTTACATAGGTGGGATTTTCTAATTAAATTACTTGATAGAAAAGATTTTTCATTTTAAGAACAAAGCTGATTGTTTTACTTAAAAAAAAAATTATAATAATACAAAAATCAAATGTAAATTATCCAAACTGTATTTACATTTTCTTCTGACTTCTGTTTGAAATTTTAAATAATAAAACTACATTTTTAAATTAAAATTTCAAAAGATGTATGCAAAAAAATGTGCCAAAATTATTTCCAAATGTCTTTTTTTATTGAAATATATTAACAGAAATGCCTCATTTTTTTTTATTTTGTGCCGTTAATATAAAATTGGTACATATTTGCTTCCATACAATCAAACAGTCCAGCTCTCCTCTTCTAAAAGATCTGAATGCATCCATTCAAAGAAGCTCGTTTCCTTTCAGATTTAATCAAGGACTGGGCGAGCGACAGCGCCCCAGACATCTACTCTTTTGTTCCCTATTCCTGGAAGTTCAAGATTCTCTTCCACCAGTTTGAGATGATCTGGGCAGCAAACCAGCACAACTGGATCGATTGTTCCACCAAGCAGCAGGAGAACGGTGAGGCGGCGCCCTGGGTCAGGTTTATGGAGCTAAACTGGAGCTTCACTTCAGCTTCACAATGTTATTTGGAAACTGAAAACAGACTTGATACTGAAAAAGGTTTTACAAATTGGAAAAAATTAATTCACATTAAAAAGACATTTAAGCAACTACTTTTCAGATTGAAGGTTTTAACAAAGTGCAGCCTCCTCAGTGTTGGGCTGGGACACCCTGAGGGTAACTGCAACAGGGGCCAACGTTAGGCCCGTCTGCGGCGGCCAGGGCCAAACTTGGCCCGTCTGCGGCGGCCAGGGCCAAACTTGGCCCGTCTGCGGCGGCCCGGGCCAAACGTTGGGCCCGTCTGCGGCGGCCAGGGCCAATTTATTATTATCTAGAGACTATTAATAACAGGAGGATAAAGGCAGCTCCAGACTAGCTTTGAATGTGGTGATGTCATCAGTACGCGTCTGTTCCAGTTGATCCATATTTATTCTGCGTTCTCCCGTTCTCCCCAAGTCCAGACTTTACTGGGTTCTTCTCAAAAACAGACTTGGCGAGGATACGAGTCTGTACTCGCGTTCTTGTGAATTGAGAAACGGCCCAGGTGTTGCATTTAAGAACCCTGGAAATGTCTTTAAAACTTAATTTACTTATTCTATGTCTATGTTGTTTTAAATAAAATGCCTCATTGCTTTAAAGACATTTCTAGTTCCCTCTGTTCCTAAATGCAACACCTTTTTTCTCACTTTGAAACTTGGAAAAAAAAAGAATTGATAAATAAGTTTGAAAAGAGTCTAATAAGTGTTTTTTTTAGGGAAATGTATGTGTATTCAAAGGTTTGACCAGTAGTGTTACTATTATTTTAATTTCTAACTTTATTTTCACTTTTTTTTTTTTTTTACAAGTTACAGTCTTTATTATTTTATTCTACAGATTTCAACCTTAACACATCTAAGTGGTCCAATACAAAAGTTGCTCCATCCAGAAATCTTGAGATTACAATCTGAGAAAATATAAAAAAAAGGGGGGAAAAAAATAAATCGGAAATAATAATGAAATAAGACTAAAGCAAATAATTTGATCCTTTGCACACATATTAAAAATCATCTTTATTACCGATGCTTTTTTTTCCTAATTTTTATTTTTGAAATGGATTATTTTTTCGATCTGTTCTTTGCCTTCAGTAATATTGAAATACATTTTTCTCCAAAGATTTCTAAAGGTAAAACAGACCAGGGAATCAAAACCACCTTATTAGTTTTCACCTTTTTTCATTTGTCTTTAGCTGGAAGCCATTTTCACCAGATAAAGTCGACATGAACGCTGGAAAAACCCTCTAAAGGATCTATACTTCCTGTTTCTACTGACATAAATCTGCCTTAACATCATATATTCTAACATATTGTGGGGAAGCTGTATAAAAAGGTTTCACGTTGTCATGATGAATAAAGCTTTGTTATACCTTAGGGCCTTTGGGATCAATGGCTAAATTAGTGTTAAATCCTGTAAAACTCTGGAAGCTGAGGGCTCTGACGGCTTCGTCTAAGTCTCCATGTACTGTAAGCAGAAGTCCAGTGCCTAATCCTCCAGCAGGCGGGATAATCAATTGCTTTATTGATCGTCTGCAGTGTACCTGGCAGCCTGTGGCGAGACGCTCAATATAGACTTCACTCTGCCTTTCAACGAGTTCGTTCCGACCACCTGCCACACCCGCTTCAGCCTCAGGGTGAGTCCCGCCACCGCTGCATTCCAGAAATAAAAGCATCGACCTGCTGTTGTTTTCCATCAGACTGAGCTTCTGTATGTTTTCTAACCAATTCACCATTATCGCCTCGTTTGTCCTCCTCAGGCCGAGGATACAGACATGCGACTGTCGCTTCCGGAGTGCCACCCGAGCCGCTACCCCCTCCTCACTTTGGCCAAAGATTACCAGAACATCAAGCTGCCGCCTGACATGTTTGTGTCCGGGGAGAACCAGGGAGGGCCCCCTCCGAAGCCTGGGAAGCCGCGCTGGAGGCACATCACCAATGCAGAGTGAGCTAAACCTGGGATTGGCTCCCGGAGTTGGGATCCTAAACCTGGGAA